CGCGAAGTATCCGATTTACCGGAATAGCGAGAAAGCAGTTCTCTGGCGGCTTCTTCAGATCCTGGACAGTGAAAAACAGCAGTCGAAAAAACGTATGGGATGCAATAACAGAAGAGAGACTAAACTTAGTTTGATCCGAATTTAGCCCATTCACAAAAAGTATACAAAGAGATCAATTTACATGTTTGGAAATATCAATTCCGTCGGGAATGGTACAAATGCAACTGGATTAGGTAATTACCGAGCTTGCTGATAAATTATTTACAATAAATTCATCGTTGTTTATATAACTTTCTTATGAATGAACTTCCGAAGGCGTCACTTCAATGAAAATTACACAATCAAACAGACAGGATAGTTGCAAGTCAGCTATTCATTGAAGGCAGGTGTTTTGAACATGTACACACCAATGCCTATTAAATGTAAAAGAGCGATAGCCAAAACATTAAATAACCGCAAAAATCCATGAGTTGCTTCGATGAAACAAACACATGAGAATCTAGCAATAATGTGATTCACTATTGGCAAAAAATGAAGTTAATTTCTATGGCTTACGATGGCAAAGCTGCTGATTCCGTCGAAGTATGGATTGCACCTGAACGAGGAGCAAAGGATAAGTGAGTCGCATTCTGCCTATTTCCAGTCAGTTAGAACACCATTTTTCACTATGAAGTCAGTCTTAATAAGATTTTTGGATTTTCGGATCTCAACCACGCTAAAATTTATTACTCATTTGATGTTCAAGGAACACCATGAGTAAAACTCGCGTAGGCTTCAAAGAGCGTGCGCGTCAAACAAGTACAAGCAAGTCCGTGCACAAACCGCTTTTATCCGTAGCTGCGTAGAACATAATGTTAAGATACTAGGGGGTGAGAACGGCTGGAGAAAACAACACTTGTTATTGTCAGAATAATCACAAAGGCCTGAGTACAATAAGTTCCGTAGGAAATTTCACACAGGTTTTGGGTTGATGCATTGCCATAAACGATAGCAGGGTAGCGTACGCATTGCAATGTGAGCAAAAAGAATAAAAACGACTTTCAGTTCAGATGCATCTGATCGGGAACGTTTTGTGATGATTACAGGGACTACTCTAATAGTTGAACAATCGAAATTCCTGAACAGTAGTTTCGTGCGAATACGTTTGGCTAGGAGATAAATAATGATGAAAAATAGAAACACATGAGGAAGTGTGTATGTGCGTGTGTGATAGTGACATCCGCAAGGCTACTCGTTTTTTGTTCAACAGTGCATTACTGAATCGGGTAAAAATCAACCTCTTCTGTTTGGGATGGAACGGTCAAGAGAAGAGAACCGCGCTTCATAGTTTTGAAAATTGTTACCAGTGAATGGTTAAAGACATGAGCGATACTGTTGACAGGAGCAAGTGAATAACAGTGCGAGTATTCGCACCTTTTTCAAGGATCACTGTTTATAGGCGGTATGTGTCGTATGTGCCGTATTGCGATGAAGCGTCTTGCTATTGGAGATTGCTATAGTGACTTATCCGGTAACTTTTGTTTGAAGATGTTCCCCAAAACCATTAGATACCAAGTAGATCAGATAAAGAAACAAGCCTGCAACAATGGATGACGGCGTACTTTAATTGCCAAATTCATGTTTCTCAATATATATATATATATATATATATATATATATATATAGATTACGGGATACGCATACCTGACGAGCGGCAAGAACCGCGAAACCGGTCGTGTGGTTCCAGGGAAATTTTGTCCAGTCATTCACATACTAATTATTATCAAATATATACACCTATTAATGAGGCAACCGAATTGGCCCTGTTAACTCTGTATACAGAAAAATATGCCAAAGTTAATCGAAAATAGTGGAAATGTTGTAAATGGCTGTACACAAAACAATGCATAATTCGTTCTATAATACTAACCATTAATTAGCTTTTTAATGTTCTGCAAATCTTCCAGCTCCGCACGCAATTTGACAGTTTCTGTGCGCATGGATTCAGCCTCACGTAAGAACTGTCTCATACTGAGAACCTCATTTCTGCAATGAAGAAAAGAAATGAACCATTGTTTCGACGATTACTACTATATGAAAAATCAAACATGGAGTAAACCTTGGGGTGTGTGAACAAGCTATGCTAAAAGTATCACCAGCAAGCATGTATGCAGATAGCAGTTTCCAAAGTTCCAGTTGGCTGTGCTTTAAACTGACTTGAACAAAAAGATCATACACGTTAGACACAGTGAGTGATATGGCGGAATGTCGTAAACAGTGGTGTTCGTGCATCCTCTCAATTTCTTTGTAACCTTAGATCACTGAAATCCTCCATTGTATCTTCCACTCTGCTTTCAAATTTCCTAACCTCTTCTAACTACTTCATTTAAATGGGCGGCCCAAAGACAACAACGAGAACTGGTTAATGGTTGTACAAACTGAAAAGATGCACAGGAAAAACTGGCCAGTGTATGGTTTAAAAACGGCATGTTACAAAAGGTACACCAATGCAAAAATATAATGACTTGCATCGAATGTGAACGAAGGTCCATTGAGTGTCGTTCACAACAATTAGGTCGTCCGACCATTGGATTGGTCAGTTGTACTGTGTACTAGCTTAGACCTTGCGGGAATAACTATATTTCTGAGTAGAATTTTTCTTTCAAATCCATCTCCTGCAGCGGTTAAGTAGCAACTGCGAGCGGGATGCGAAATGGTGGACAATGTTCAGACATGCGCAGTCAATGTACTAACGAGTGTGTCGTGATCGTTCAGTTGCAAATAAATCTTTTCCCGAAACACCCACACGTGACATTCTGACCTAAAGTTGTTAAACGACTTACTACATTTTGTTTATACAGAATACCTTGTAAAGTGGCCACTGAAAATCTCCAGTCGGAGGTATTCCTCACACATAAACATGAAGTTTCGTGGCAGAAAAGCAAACCGATTAAGCTCTAATGAATCTGTATATAGAAACCACAGCTGTTATAGTTTAGAAAATAAAATAAAATCACAAACCATTCATAATTAATTGGGAAAGCTGAAACAGACGATTTAGTTGACAAAGACCATACTTCAACTCGCGTGAACGTTGGCGTTCCTTTTCACACAGTTTGTCCGACTCCGTGTATAGCGACGTCAGTGTGGCAACTTCATTTTCGCGATCCTTTGCCAGCTTAGTCTGTTGAGCAAGCCTACGTTCCGATTCGCGAAGAGCCTCCTCCAAACGATCGATCTCAGATCGAGCTTTGTATAATTGTACATTCGGATTTCGTAGTTCGGATCGCTTTGGTGATTCTTGTGACTATTACAAAGCCGGGAAATGTGGTGATTGCTCAAGATAAATCAAAACACTTAGGAATTATAAAAGGCATATAGTGAACATATTCAAATAACCCTATCGGTACACTGACGAGTTACACAAAAAACAGCAAACTCATCAGCCGGGAATGTTCCAACATATAAACAGAGAACAGCCTACGAGATAAGTCGTGATTGGTCCTCCGAATTGGAGATAAAATCATCTACAATGATCAAAAAAACCAACTTCACTGATTCATATCACAGCGTGAAAAACTAATGCTACGGTCCTCAAATTTAACTTGGTTATACGAGATGTATAAGGTGTTTGAAGTGTGGTTAATATAGACAAACCTACTTTGATCTGAGCAATCCGCCAGTAGCCCGCTACGAGCAGATCATTGACCCCCTGAGGCGAGGCCTTTGAAATTGGCCGCGCGGTCCGTTACATCGTCGGACTCGGAACTATGCAATCACTCTTCACTGGATTTATCTAGGAAACACGTCCTTCGTTGCCATAGAAACGTTATGTGTCTATGGTCATCCTAAATTCTGTGAAATACTCTGCTGTTTTCATGAAGCAACTTAGAACTTCTGGCCACTGGATTTTACCTTCTTTTGGCAAATCGGTTCGTAGCTGGGAGAGGAGAATTCACGGAAATCTCAGAACATTTCCCAGAAAACACAGCTGAATGGCAGGTCGCACTATACAAAAGATCAGTTTCAGACATCTGCATTCCAGCAGTCATCGGTAGAAATGTGCGCTCCCTGCTTGGCAACATGGCAGAAGTAACAGATCTGACAAGGAGACGGGAATATTCAAAGGTTGGAGTCGTAATGCTTCAGGAAACCTGGCTCCACAACGAAACTGATGATAATGTGGTCAAAATTGACAATTTCCCCATAGGCCGAGTTGACCGACCCGCTCCGGTTCACAAACGAGGCGGTGGTGTTATCCCATACTTATCATGGTCCAGCGAAATACAGTGAAGCG